GTGTGAGGAGCCTCAGGCTTTGGAAATAGCTCAGTGAAATGCAAAGTGTCTTTTTAATATCTATAGTCAAACTAGATAAATTACAGTACAACCAATTAACAATGAATTTAGAACTTTTTTTTAAATAGTGGAAAGCCAAGTTATTTCTAAAATCAACAGAATTGTAGAGATGTTGGCATACCTACTGTCTGGCAAACATGATAGGGTTTTGTTGTTTTAAATACTTTATTTTTTTTTAATTTTCTGCTCAATGGTGTTTTGCTTGCATGTACATCTGTGTGAGGGTGTCAGAAGCCCTGGAACTGGAGTTACAGACAGGTGTGACTTGTCATGTGAGTGCTGGGAATTATGTCCTCTAGAAAAGCAGCCAGTGCTCTTAACCACTGAGCCACCTCTCCAGCCCTAACAATGGATAATTTTTCTCAATTTTTTTGTTTTTTATTTTTAATATGACTGTGAATCATCATTTATTATAATTATAATGTGGTAGTTTTTTTATTTAAATTAGAAACAAGCTTGCTTCACATGTCAATCCCAGCTCTCTCTCTCCCTCCCCTCCTTCCCTGTCCCCCACCAGTCCTCTCAGATCCTACCTAATTCTCACTCAGTTCCCCAGGGAGGGTGAGTCCCCCCATGGGGAATCTCCAGAGTATCATTTCCCCTAAGAGTACAAGCTGAGAGAGCATCCCTCATTGTGGGATGGACACCCAAAGTCCATTTGTATGCCAGGGATAAATACTGATCTACTACCCAAGGCCCCATAGATTGCCTAGGCCTCCTCACTGACACCCACATTCATGGGGTCTGAATCAGTCCCATGCTGGCCTCCTAGCCATCAGTCTGGGGTCCATGAGCTCCCCCTTGTTCATGTCAGCTGTTTCTCTGGGTTTCACCAGCACAGTCTTGACCCGTTTGCTCATCACTCCTCCCTCTCTGTCACTAGGTTCCAGGGGTTCAGTTCAGTGTTTAGCTGTGGGTATCTGCCTCTGCTTCCATCAGTCACTGGATGAAGGTTCTAGGATGGCATATAAGGTAGTCATCAATCTTATCATCAAGGAGGGGCTATTAAGGTAGTCTCTCCACTATTACATAGTTTGCCAGTTGGTGTCATTCTTGTAGATCTTTGGAAATCTCACTGGTTAGTGCCAGATCTCTCCTCCACCCTATAATGACTCCCTCTATTATGGTATCTCTCATCCTGCTTTCCTCTATTCTTCCCCCACCTCAACCTTTCTGCTCCCCCATGACCTCCTCTCCCCTCCTCCTTAACAACTTCCTGTGCTTCTCTTGGATAATCTTTTCTGTTTTTTTTTATTTTTATTTTTAAGATAGGTTGTCAGCCGGTTTTTGGTGGTGGTGCACACCTTTAATTCTAGCACTTGTGAAGCAGAGGCAAGCACAGGCAAGAAGTTCTGAGTTTGAGACCAGGCTGCTCTACAAAGCAAGTCCCAGGACAGTCAGGGTTACACAGAGAAACCCTGTCTCAAAAAAAACTGAAACAAACAAAGACAGGGTGTCATGGTGTACGGGGTGACACCTCTCAAGTGCTGGATTTATAGACATGAGTCAACACATCTAATTTAGAGGGTTTGTCTTGTTTTGAGAAAGGGTCTCACTATTAATGCTGCCTGACCAGGAACTTACTATGTAGACCAGGCTGCCTCCCAAGTGCTGGTATTAAAGATGTGTGCTGTGATACCTGACACACATCTTATTTGTTCATTATTATTATTTGTGAACCAGTGTATATGTGCTTACTTGAGTTTATGAGTGCAGGAACACATGAAGGCCAGAAGGGGATGTCAGACTCCTAGAACTGAAGTTACAGCCTTTTGTGAGACACCATGTAGGTGTTAGGAACTGAACCATAGTCTTTGCAAGAGCAGCCAGTGCTCTTAACAGTTGAGCATCTCTTTAGCCCCTGGAGTAATGTTTTTAACAAAGGATTATAAGACTGTCCAGGCTTCACACCATCACTTAGGAGACTGTCCATGACTGGAAGCCACTCCCTTCTGACCTCACTCTCCCACTCTCCCTGTACACCAGCCACATTAGCTTCCTTGATCTTCCTTAGCTGCACAGGGCCTTTGCACTTGCTAATCCCTGTTGAAATACTCCTTCTCGAGACTCCTTCATGACTCTCTCCCCTCCCTCCATTCCCTAGTCTCTATTTTTCCTTACCTGTTGTAGTTTTTTTAACCATTTGAGAAAATTTGCATAAAATTTTTCTTCAATATATGTTTTTATTTAAATTAGAAACATGAATGTTTCACATGTCAATCCCAGCTCTCTCTCCTACCCCTCCTCCCTTCCCCTCCACCAGCCCCCTTCAGCGTCCCCCTCCACCCCCCCCCCGCCCAATCCCCATATCATTCCCCAGGGAGGGTGAGGCCCTTCTTGGGGGGAATCTCCAGAGTCTGTCATTTAATCCAGGGTAGGACCTAGGCCCTTCCCCATGTGTCCAGACTGAGAGAGCATCCCTCTGTGTGGAATGGGCTTCCAAAGTTCATTTGTAGGCCATGGTAAACACTGATCTACTATCCAAGGCCCCAGAGATTTCTGAGGACTCCTCACTGACACTACATTCATGGAGTCTGGATCAGTCCCCTGTTGGTCTCCCAACCATCAGTCTGGGGCCCAAGAGCTCCCCCTTGTCCAGTCAGCTGTCTTTGTGGGTTTCATCAGCAAGGTCTTAACCCCTTTGCTCATCACTCCTCCATCTCTGTCACTGGGTTCCAGGAGTTCAGTTCTTTGTTTAGCTGTGGGTATCTGTCTCTGCTTCCATCAGTCACTGGCTGAAGGTTCTAGGATGGCATATAAGGTAGTCATCAATCTTATCATTAAGGAGGGGCTATTAATGTAGTCTCTCTGCTATTGCTTAGTTTGCCAGTTGGTGTTATCTTTGTAGATCTCTGGAGATCTCACTAGTGTCAGCTCTCTCCTCAAGCCTATCATGACTCCATCTATTATGGTATCTCTCATCCTGCTCTCCTCTATTCTTAACTTGACTCAACCTTCCTGCTCCCCCATGTCTTCTTCTCCCCTCCTCTTCTCCCCCTCTCTTTTTCCTGTTTCCCTCTCCCCTCCCCCAATGTTCCCAGTCTGCTCAGGAGATCTTGGCTCATTCCACTTCTCTGGGGTATCATGCATCTCTCCTGGGAACCTCCCTGTTTCCCAGACTCACTGGCACTGGGATTGTAGGCTGACACTCCCCTGATCCATATCTAAAATCCATATATGAGTGAGTGCATACCATGTCACAAAAAGACAAACATGGTATGTACCTATTGTAGTTTTTAAAGAGCATTTACTGCACTTACTGTCACCTAAATCATGTTTTTTTTCTTCTTCCAGTCACTGTACATAAAGGAAAGACTCAAGTTCACTATCTCCCCAGAACAGTGATAGCTACACAATAGACTGTGAATAAATAATATACTCGTCAAGAGACATATTAATCAATTTCAGTTGGATTTTACTTCCTTATTTGAGACAAGTGCACTTACCTGTGTGTGTACTTGTAGAGATTAGAGATTGACTTTGGCTATTTTCTATATTGCTTGCCTATTTTTTGAGATAGGGTGTGTAACTGAACCCAGACCTCACCATTTTGGTTATCTTGGCTGGCCAGTGAGCACCAAACATCCTCCTGTCTCTCAGTTATTCCATGCTGGGATTTCAGCTGAGCACCACCATGCCCAGGTTTTCTGTGCTTTAGACACTGGAATCAGATCCTCCACATCCTCCCAGCCTCTGGCTTGGATTTTAAAATGAAAAAGTGTGTATTCATTAATCTGTCTGGAAAAATACCATGTTACTTCTTAGTTTTCTACTTTATCTAAATAGTGTAATAGACCAACTCCTACTAATTTATTTTAATTTTAATTTTTTTCTTTAGTTGAGATTATTTTTGTCCCCATGTTGTGCTTGCTGTCTGAAACCTGCCACTGATTATCCTGACGATGCTTGTATGTTCTTGTTTCTCTGTATTCTTCTAGTTAGAATCTCAGTCCTTGCTTCTCACTGGGTCAGTTTTACTTCTAGAAATTAATTTTTTAAAAAGAGTACAGTAGATAGAGCTGGGGAGATAGCTCCGTTGGTGGAATGCTTACTGCACAAGCAGAAGGACCTGAGTACAGACAAAGGGTTGTATGTCTGTAATACTAGCCCTGGAGACGTGGTGACAGGAGACTTCCCTAAAGCTCAGTAAGCAGCTCGTCTACCCAGGACAATGAGCCCCAGGTTCAGTGAGAGAACCTCTCTCAAAATAGGAGGTTGGAGACCTTTCACTCTGACCTCTATATGCCTGTGATCACATAGAAAACACACACGTGTGTGCAGGGACACACACACACACACACACTCACACTCACTCACTCCCCCCACGCAAGAATAAAGTAGAGAGAAGTTAGCAAAATAATAGAAAACAAATTTATTACAGAAACAGAAATAAAATGAAGTCTTTCATTTTGTGTTCATTTAATTATTACTTAATTATTAATTGAAACAGATTCTCACTATGTAGCTCTGGCTGTCCTGGAGCTCACTATGTAGACTAGGCTGGCCTTGAACTCAGAGGTCCATTTGCCTCTCCTCCAGAGTGCTGGAATTAAAGGCGTGTGCCGGCACCCTGTTCCTTAATCGGCATTCTCAACTATAAGAACAGCTAGGCTTACAGTTTAAGAATGGAGGCAGAAGGCATTCTTCACAGTCTCTTGCCATCTTACTTGGTCCTCACAAATTTGTGCAGTTCCCTGCACAGTGAGCAGTGGTAATAACTTACCTGAAGCACTGACCCTCCCACATACACCGTGTCATTGGCAGCTATGGAGTTGAAATCATCACTGTTTGTGTTCTCATGCCCTTACAGACACCTCTCTAATGTAACCTTTTAGCCTTTGTAAAGTGTCCTGTGGTATGGTTATTTAATCAGAACTCTGAATATTCTTTCCTTTGATGATTAAGAAATTAATTTGTTACTTTGTTTTTCTTTTTTCCAGGTGTATGGTGGCTGATGAAGTGAGTACCTTACAGCCTTTTATAAACTAGTGTTTACTATCTTCTTGTTCTTGTTCTTCTTTTTTTTTTAATCTGCCTCTGTTTTTTCATGTACCTATCTATGAAGTGGGGGAAACACAAACAGAAAAAAATGTAGTTGTATAATAGCCATTTCCTCCTAAATACTTCTGTGTACAGTACATATAATTATGTGTATTGTGTATAAACTTTCAAATACAACCAGTTTTGTCCACATAAAATACAAAGTTAAAACACATACATACACACACACACACGTATACTATACAAAGTTTTAGATTTGGTCAGTTTCTTTTCTACCCAGTCTCCAGTGTTCTCAGTAGACATTAGCCTATTTACAGAATTCCTTATGAACTCTTAACCTGGTAGTCTTTTCCTAACATGAGTTGTTTTGTTCTTTTCTTATTTTCAGTTTCACAGCAATTTTCATGCTAGCTTTTTTTGTCTTCTTTCAAACCTTTTTGAGAATTTTAATTTTTTTATACAAATGTTTGTTTGAATGTATGTTTGTACCAAATTTGTACCTGGTGCCTGTGGAGGCCAGAAGATGGCATTCAGTCACCAGACAGTTATGAACTGCCACAGTCCTGGAAGAGCACTGAACCATTTCTCTAGCCCCCCAAGCCATAATTATTTAATGAGATTATTTGTATTCTGTCTGTCTGTCTGTCTGTCTGTCTGTCTGTCTCTCTCTCTCTCTCTCTCTCTCTCTCTCTAGTGTGTGTGTGTGTGTGTGTGTGTGTGTGTGTGTTCTGGTTGTTTACCTTGGGTACTTACATGTGCTAGGCCAGTGCTCTACTATTCACCATCATCCCCAGCCCTAGAATAATGAATTTTAAAGAAGCCATTTAATAATTCCACAGTACTAAAAAAAAAAGAACACCTCCATTTTAATTCATCGTAATTGCTTCTTTCTTTTCTGTAGTTTTTAAAAGATGAATCTTTTCTTGTTGTTTCATGTGCATATGTGTGTGATGTGCAGGAATGTGTATATGCACGTTCATATGTGTCTGGAGCATTGCACATACATGTACATACATTCACATAGAGTCAGAAGTTGACAACAGGTATATCCCTAGATTGCTTGCCCCTTTATATACTGGCACAGGGTCTCTTGCTGGATCTGGAGCTCACGTATTCACCTACATTAGCTGGTCTGCTTGCCCTGGAGATTCCTTCTCTGCCTCCTAAATGCTGGGATTATAGGCAGGCAGCGCAGTGTCTGCCCTGCTTGTATGTAGTTTCTGTGGATCCGAACTCAGGTACTCGTGCTTACACTGTAAGCACTTTAGCCTCTGAGGCATCTTCCCAATTTCTTGAAGAGTATTCTTTTCTATCTGTTGGACGTCACAAGATTTGTGATGTTACATCCTAACTGATAATGCTAATTAAGAAAAAAATCCTCACCTTTACAGATGAGTTCTTTAAAACAAAAATGACCAAAAAAATCAAGCTTGTAGAAATGTATATCTAAGCACATACTTTAGAGCCACTAATATTCTCTGTAGTGGTGAGTAGAATTGATGTTCTTTAAATATAATATTGCTGCAGTAGAGGCCTGGAGAGATGGCTCAGTGGTTAAGAGCCCTGGATCCTCTTCCAAAGGACCCACGTTCAACTCCCAGCACCCACAAGGCAGCTTACAACTGTCTGTAACTCTGTTCTCGGGGATCCATCTCCCACATACAGACATACCGATGTACATAAAATATAAATAAGTAAACTATTAAAAAAAAGTTCTGATGTAGCTAGACATGGTGGGCCTTAAATTCTGACATTTGGGAGGCAGAGGCAGGTGGAATCTCAAGGCTAGCCTGTCCACAAAATGAGTTCGAGAAAAGCCAGGGCTATACAGAAAAACCCTGTCTGGGGTAGGGGGACTTCTGAAGTAAAAAGAACACACGTATGTTAATTATATGTCATTCTATATCCTACTTCTCCTTTGCTCATACTCAAGGTGACATGGAAGCTAGAGAAGAAATGCAATTTATAGTTTGAAGGCCAGTTGCTTTTTGATTGTTGAAGAGTCTGTTTTGGTAATGATGACTGACTTATCAGTAGCTGGAAGCCTTAGAGCGGCTTTACACCCATGTGGCTGAACCTTCTTGAAGATGCCTGAACACCACTTGGGATGTTGGGGACTTAGCTGTCTGTGTGATCTTGCCTCTCTAGCTTTACAAGCATGTGACTGGCATCATCTCTCCTCTTCTACTCTTTCCTGTTACCTTACTCTCACACTTGAGTCTTTGAAACACTGTGTAATCCAGCTACTATGTATTACTGCTACTGACTACAAATTAAAATGATGGTTGAAGTTCTGCTTAATTCAGTTTAATTATGCAGTCATTGTGTGTTTCAGTTACATTACAGAACTATATGTTAAATAAGCAACAAAGTCACAACATTTCATAAAATGAACTGTAAGCTCTGTTGAAACTGTTTAATTACTTTTTTTCTGTCTCAATCAATGTAATAATGAAACGTGCATTATCGATCAATGTGCATTGATTATAAAGAGACACTTATGTACTTTTTAATGTAATAATTTTCTTTTTCTTTGAGAATTTCCTATATGGATAGAATATATTTTGATTATAGTCCCCTTCTCCTGGCCTCTCTCTCACCAGAACATGCTAATAGTTACAAACTCTGTTGCATAAATAATGTCATTTGGATCTCAATTGGTACTTGGATTTGTGTACTGTTATATGTTGTTTTCTAATAATTATCTTAAAAGAAACTTCTAATAATTATCTTTGAAACATATTTAAGAATTGCCTCTTCTTATTTAAGAATTATGGAGTTATTGAAATTTTTGTTTACAAGATTATGTTTTAAACACTAATTTTTTTTGTCAACACAAATCACACAATTTCATTGATGGTACCTTGTAAAAAGATTAAATCTTTTTAATCTCTGTGAGTTTAAGACCAGCCTAGTCTACCAAAGCTAGTTCCAGAACAGCCTCCAACGTCACAGAGAAACCCTGTCTCGGAAAAAAAATTAAATCTAAATACATTCTACATTCTTTTCAAGTACTTAAAGGTTATTGTTTATTCTAGAAGGTTATTTAGAGAACTTTTATAACATTTTTTATTTAAGATGACAGAATGAACAGTCTAGATTATATGACTAGCCTATTAATAGATTTGCCTAATTAGCTTTAATTGTCAACTTGAAACAACCTTAAGTCACCTGACACTGGAGTCTCGTTGAATTTTGCTGAGAGGTAAGATTGTCCTTCCTGGGACTGTCTTGATTATTAGTTGATGTAAGAGGACCAAGCTCGCTGTGAATGGTACCATACTCTGGACAAGTTGTCCCAGGCTGTGTAAGAACACTAACTAAGCATGGGTTTATGAGAAAACCACTAAGCAGCTTTCCCATCATTTCTGCAGCACTTCCTAGGCTATGAGTAAGTCCCCTGGTCAGAGTTAGCTGTATGTGGAATAGCAAGCATGCCTGCCTTCAGGTTCCTGCCTTCACTTTCTTCAGTGATGTATAGTGACCTTGAAATGTAAGGTATTATAAACCCTTTCCTCCTCTCCATTGCTTTGGTCATGGCGTATGTCACAGCAATAGGAGGGAAACTGGAACCCATGGAAGTCACAGTATCTTTTTTTGTATTTAAAACTTTAATTTAAAAAAATGATGCGAATTGTATTGGGTGTGTCTGTTTGGGTGCCTATGGAGGCCAGAGAGTGTTGGGTCCCCCCGAGGTACACACTTTTGTGAGACACACTACAAGAGTGCTGGGAACTGAGTATTTTCCTTTCCTCTTAGGTACCACTTTTAGTTACTACCTTGCATTACAGCTGCACCACCAATGAGTTCTTTGGTTTTGCTGTTATTACTAGAAAAACATTTATCAGAGAGAGGAGGATGGTATATTAAAGTATCAATTCCTTTACTTTTTCAAAGAAAATGAAACCATTTTCCAATGTAGTGGTAGTTCCAGGCTTGGTTTATCTGGTGGGTAATCTGGACATGTCAATGGGTAAATATTTTCAAACACAGTTACTGTTCCCATTTGTTTTGTGGAAGTTGGAGGAGAGAGACTAAGGGAGGTGATCATTGCTGGTTTAAGCTCACAGATATGAGTGTCTCTGAAGGCAGAAGTCAAGCTTGGAAAGTTAGTTTCCCTGCAGACAGAAGTCAGTAGGTGTCTGGAGATACCAGGGAACCCCATTGAAAGATGGCTTCCACTCCAAAGGCATTAAAATTGAGATGGCAATTGTGTGTTTTGTAGAGTATCCCTTCGTTAGGATTTTTATGTTGTTTTCTTTAATGGTCAGACTTAGGTAATGTAGGAAAAAAAATGTCACTTTAATTACAATTTACTAAGAACACACCCCAGACATAGGGGTACATACCTATAATGCAGCTCTCTGCTGGCTGAGATGGGTCTCTTGAATCAACCTGGGATACATGAGTTTCAGCCCAGCCTGAGATATATATATATATATATATATATATATATATATATATATATATATATATATACCTTTCTCAGTGTATCCTGTCAACCAGACTCATCATCGTTACTCTGATTACTTAGATTGGGGTAACATTGGTCAGGTTCCTACACTGTAGAGTCAGGCTTCTTTTCCTCCTTCCTTTCCACATCAGTGGTTTTGTTGTTGTTGTTTTTTCGAGACAGGGTTTCTCTGTGGCTTTGGAGGCTGTCCTGGAACTCGCTCTTGTAAACCAGGCTGGTCTCAAACTCATAGAGATCCACTTGCCTCTGCCTCCCGAGTGCTGGGATTAAAGGCATGCACCACCACCGCCCTTCCCAAATCAGTGTTTTCTTTTTTTTTTAAGATTTATTTATTTATTTATTTGTGCTTATGAATACTTGATCTGTGCACACCTTTACACCAGAAGAGGGAATCAGATCCCATGTGAGCCACCATGTGGTTGCTAGGAATTGAACTCAGGGCCTCTGGAAGAGCAGCCAGTGCTCTTAACCTCTGAGCCATCTC